GGGGGGGGGGGGAAAACAGAGTCACACCTGGCTGGAGCGTATCATAACACATTGTTTTTCTAAGACAATCTAGTAATTTTTCTTCTATGGTTTCTAACCCTGACATAATCCTCCATACGTCAGTCCCCACTCCCAGCACATTCTGTAATATTCTGTAACCCTTCCATGCCGCAGTCCCTCACCCTAGCACAGGGGGTGTCTCTGACTCCTGTTTGTTCACTGATAACACCCCTCAGACAGTGTCTGAGGCCTCAGAAATACTCAGATGATAGGGACCCAGGGACGGCTCCCGCAGCTGGAGGCTGGTGGTACCCTCCCTGGATGGCAGGTCCAGGCAGGCAGGGAACAGACGCCTCTGTCCTGAGGAGGAGAGAGTGCTCCATGACGTGGCCGGCCTGCCAGCCAGACGTGCACCAGGACAGAGACTGGCCCCCAAACCCCCTCAGAGGCGACAGCAGTCGAGGCTTTCCTTCCGCCCTGGGCTGGCCGTGGTCCTGACCCAGCCAAGCGTGTGAGGATGGTCCCGTGCCTGGGACGGGTCACAGACCCTTATCCTGCCCACCCTGCCTGTTCTTTGTATTTCTTTGGCACCTGCCAAGCCGTGTGGAGGATGTCCACTTAAGACATGCCTTCTATGGAAGTGTCCCTTAATGAACTCTGTTAGCTGACAAACCAGAGAGGTAATTGGAGCCAACTGTGGAAAGTTACGTTTGTCCACAATGAAGATACAGAGTGGGTCTCATGGTGAGGCTCTTCTCAGGAGGCACACCCATCTGATGGCACCCGCAGCCTGAGGCCACCTCCTCATTCTGTCTCCTCAGCCACGCCTGGCATGCCAGGATCGTATTACAAAAGGAAAACATGCTCAGTGGAGAACACTGGAGGTAAACGCCAACAGCTTTCTCATTGGTCTATAGTTCTATAAATGCGTGTGCGTGTGCGTGTGCGTGTGCGTGTGCGGGGCCCCTGGGGGGACGTGCCACAGCTCACGGATTGTTCTGCCGCTTTGGGCAGCAGCCAGTGTGTGCCACTATCACGAAAGCCTCTGTGAAACCTGTCCTTGTCTCTGGCACACTCGTGTCGTATTCCCGGTAGAACCGCTTCTCCTCCGTGTGCACGTGCCCAGCTGGAAAGGATGCTGCTATGGCCTGCGGGAGGGGTTGAGCCAGTTACCTGCTTCCCTGGGGAGGCCCCACACCCTTGCCAGCTTGGTGTCCTTGCTTAGTTTCCCCTATGGCCATTGTGCCAGTGCTAAATAACCACCTGTGGGTTTGTTTTGGTGTTTTTTTTTTTGTTAATCTTCACCCGAGGATACTTTTTCCATTGATTTTTGGAGAGAGTGGAAGGGAGGGAGGAGGGGGAGAGAGAGAGAAATACTGATGTGAATGAGATACATCAATTGGCTGCCTCCCACATGTGCCCCTACCAAGGCTGGGGAACCTGCAACTGAGATACATGCCCTTGACCTGGAATCGAACCCACAACCCTTTGGCCCAAGGACTGACACTATAACCACTGAGCCAAACCAGCTAGGGCTAATTATCTGTGGTTTTTAACTTGCATTTCCCTGAGGGCCTGTGCCATGGAGCTTAATCCTATGAACTGACCGGCCATCATGATCCTCCCATTCAAATGCCCTTTTCAATTGGATGCTGACCCTTTCTATTAACCTTCAGAACATTTGACCATATTCTGGAAGGCAGTGCTTCAGAAACCCCCCCCCCCCCCCCCCAGCCACCGGTCTCCCAGCCTTTCTGCACCTCCAGGTGGCCTCCTGGGGGTACAGAAACTGCCATTACACTATTGACCAACCATCAATCCTTTAAAAAATACCTTAGCCTACCTCAAGGTCATGAAGAAATCCTCGCAGGTTTCAGTTTGGAAGCTTTATGGTTTGGCTTTAAATGTTTAAGTCAACAGTCCACTTGGAATTCCTTGGAATTGGTTTTCGTGTGTCGTGTGAGGTAGCAGTCCAGCTTCCTTTCCCACGGCCGGGGATTGAGCCTGCAGTCATGGCATCCAAGTGAATGATATCCAAATGAAGGATCCAGCCCCGTTCACTCAAAATATCACCCTCTCCTCCTCTTTCTGCAAGCTGCTTTGGCCATGGATCTATTGTTCACATTGTGCGGTCTGCTTCTTCACTTCCTACTCTGTCCATGAATCTGCGTGTCCACTTTCTGCCGTGGGCGCAGTCTCATCCCTGGGGCTTTTTCCCAGGCCTTTGTGTCTGATGGAGTATGTCCTCCAGCTATGCTCTTCTTCAAGAACGGAACGTTTTAGAATAAGCTTGTAAATGTCCACAAAAGACCTGCTGCGATTTTGATGGGAGTGCATTAAATCTACAGATCTATAGATCATTTAAATGGTGTCTTACCAATATTGTTTTTCAAACCACGAACACAGTGGCGTTAACGTATGCCTTCTTTCCTCAATAACAGTTTATTGAGGAACCTGCAACTGTGTGGAGGTCTTGAAGATCTTTCATTCGATTTCTTCTTAGGTATTTGATTATTTTTCATGTTATGATGAATGGTATTTTTTAAAATGTCTACCTTCTA